AAAAAGCTCCTGGCTCCTGGCTGCGGATTGGCGCAGCTCCGGCCGTTGCAGCCAACTGGGGAGTGAACCAGCGGATGGAAGACTCTCTTTGCCTCTCCTTCTCTCTCTGTGTAACTCTGACTTTCAAATAAATAAATCTTAAAAAAAAATAAATAAAACAAAGAAAGAAAGAAAGAAAAAAAAAGAAAGAAATCTCTGTTCTTTACAAATGACTCGTTCTCAGGTATTTAGTTACCTCAGCATGAAATGGACTAAGACAACCCTCCTGCCCCATTGAATGAGCCTGTCAAAACACTGGGAAGTGTGGCCAATACACCACAGAATCACCAGTTGCTCATGTGGTCCTATTCCTTGGCTGGGGCACTGCCCTAAGGCCAGCATCCAGGTCTGGCCCAAGAGACCGAGAGGCTGTGCAGGGTGATCCTGATCATAGCCTGGCACTCGGCAAGTCCCTCTGTCCTGACACTTCCTGTGTCTTGGGAGACAACTGAAAGGCACATCAGGGTGACTATGGCCTCGAACCAGACAGCACTGCCGCCCTGACCCTCCTTTTTCCCCCTGAGCCTCCCCCGTATTTCCCCTGAGGGGCTCACTCAGCCCTGCCCACATCAAGGACAGAGGCACTTCCCCTGGCCCAAGCGCCCCAGTCTCCCAGGCAAGGGCTCTTCTGGCTTCTTCCCCAGCTTACGCTGTCCACTACTCAAAGGTATATAAAAAGCACAAGGAGGTTGCTGCCCCACCGGCCAAACAGCTTGGTGGTGCTACCTCGGCAGCTCTCGTGGGACAGTGCCCGGAGACGACTACAAGGATGTCTTCTAAGTTCAAGGTGTCATGAGGTTCCCTCCTGTGGACCAGAAGAGCGTCATGCAGCAGCAAGGCTCCGTGGGACACAGGTGACCAAGAGGCCTGCTGGCATCGTACCCAGACCAGTGATCTAAAAACAAGAAGGAAATCACAACTTGGATTTGAAAAGCCCTGTGTGGCACATGAGTGTGGTGGAAACTACACAGACGTAGCCACTTGTCCCAGCTCTGCCCTCAAAGAGGCAAGAGGCCATGGCTGCTCTCTTGGTTTCACTACCTGGAATCTACGTGCTTCTAATGTGCCATCTTCCCTCTCTGTGGGACAGAATTCCCCGGGGCTGGGACCCACACAAGGGGCACTGGGGCTGCTCAGTTCACCATCGAGGAAGTGGCGGGCAGCCGCTGTGCTCAGTCAGGCACATGGGCACCAGCCCCCTCTACAGCACTGCCTCCTAGGACAGGATGCGAAAGCTCAAGTCACAAAGGCTGCACACCTTCCTGCAAGGACAAGCAGGGCATGGACCCTACAAGCAGGGAGCCCGCAAGGACTATACACTGCCATAGAGCATCTGGGTGCAGCTCTGGCCGCCAACGGGGGAAGGGTCAGTCCCTTGTGACACAGCCCCAGCCAGGACCTCTCCTGGGGCTCAGCAGAGGCATGGTATGCCCCCAATGAGTCAGCATGGTTATAAAAGAACTCTTCTTGGAGCTGAGCCAAACATGCCCGAGAGTATCTCGCAAACTCTCATGAGCCACAGGTACAGCCCAGGCCCATCCTCTTAGATGGGACCTATCCTCTTAGAAAGGGACAAGCAGGCCTGCTCCTGACCATGGGGGCTCTACAGGCACTAGGTGTTCGGTCTGGCTGGCAGGCTCTATATTTTAAACAGCTGCCCACAGTGACGCTGCTCACCTGCACTGACCTCCCTTAGGAGCCAACATCAGCTGACTCGGAATCACCCAAACCCAGCGACACAGCCAGGAGGACAAGCTGGGCCTTGCATGGGGAAAGCTCCTTCTCAAGCAGCCCTGTCCCCTAAGTGCTCCCACGTTCACACACCCACATCAGCCCCCCAAACTGGACTTTTCAATGATAAGTTACTTCCATCTCATTAATGAGTACCGTAAAAGAGGGGCCGGCATTGTGCAGCAGGTTGTGACACTGGCATGCCAGATGAGTGCCGGTTGAGGCCAAGCTGCTCCACTTCTGGCCCAGGTCCCTGTTAGTGTGCTTGGGACTGCAGAAAAAGCTCAAGTGCTTGGGACCCTGTACCCATGTGAGAGAGCCGAATAGAGTGTCTGGCTCCTAGCTTCTGCCTGGCCCAGCCTGGTTGTTGCGGCCTTTTAGGGAGTCAACTAGAGGACTGAAGATCATTCTCTCGGGGACCGGTACTGTGGCGTAGTAAACTAAGCTTCTGCTCACGGCGCCGGCATGCCATATGGGTGCCAGTTCGTGTCCCGGCTACTCCTCTTCTGACCCAGCTCTCTGCTAGTGGCCTGAGAAAGCAGTGGAAGATGGCCCAAGTGTTTGGGTACTTGTACCCACGTGGGAGACCCAGAAGAAGCTCCTGGCTTCGTATCTGCCCAGCTCCAGCAGTTGTGGCCATTTGGGGAGTGAAGCAGCATTTGGAAGACCTTTCTCTCTGTCTCTGCCTCTCTCTGTCTGTAACTTTCCCTCTCAAGTAAATAAAATCTTTAGAAATAAATAGATAAAAAAATAAGAATTTTAAAAGTTTTTTAGGCTAGCACCGTGGCTCACTAGGCTAATCCTCCGCCTGTGGCACCGGCACCCCGGGTTCTAGTCCCAGTTGGGGCGCCGGATTCTGTCCCGGTTGCTCCTCTTCCAGTCCAGCTCTCTGCTGTGGCTGGGGAGTGCAGTGGAGGATGGCCCAGTGCTTGGGCCCTGCACCCGCATGGGAGACCAGAAAGAAGCACCTAGCTCCTGGCTTTGGATGGGCACAGCACGCCAGCCATAGTGGCCATTTAGGGAATGAACCAATGGAAGGAAGACCTTTCTCTCTGTCTCTCTCACTGTCTAACTGTGCCTGACAAAAAAAAAAAAAAAGTTTTTTAAAAAAATTCATTCTCTAATTCTGCCTTTCAAATAAATAAATCTTTTTTTTAAAGTAACCCCAAGAGAAAGCCCTTTCAAGGCAGCAGCCCCACACCATGGGAGGGGAAGGGAACTGGGCCTGTCTGACCACACTGGAGATCTTTCAACCATGGCCTCTAGAGAACCCAGCACCAGCTCCCCCGCCAGCTGGGAGCACACGGTAGTCTCACCCTGGGGCTTAAAGAAAACAAGGAGAGGACCAGCATCCTCTAGGAAGAGGCGAGGGACAGGGCAGTCAGTGCAGCCCCTGCCTGCAGAACCCTGAGCAAGTCAAGCCCAGGGGCTCCCACCCCCAGGTACCCCAGAATGAAGGGCCCCTTAAAACTATGGCAAACAAACCCTAAGTTTCTATATTTGATGGGGAGTTTGGGGGGTTGAGAACAGAAAATCCTTTGAGCCTCAAATCCTGACTCCCACCTTCTACACGCGAGCTGTACCCGGGAGAGGAAGGCAGGGCCTGCCCACTCTCACTCTACCGTCCAAGTGCCTCATACCTTGGGTCTCCTAACGTGTCTCACCCTGCCTTCAGCTCTGCTGCCTCCCCAGTCCTCTGCCTCCCAGGCCAAGAACTCCTGGAGGTGGCATCAGTGCATCCATTTCCTATGCCTGGTGCCCAGATCAGATCAGTGAGCTGAGGGGCAATCGATGGACAGACAGAATGAGCAGAGGTCAGCTCGCTTCTTTCTTCTCTCTCCCTTTGGGTATCGTGAAGGAGTGACCCAGAAATTCCATGGAGCATACACGGCTCCCGCTCATGAACGCATCACTCCCCAGGGGGGGACGATGTCAGTAAGTTTGCCTCTGTGCACTGGATGCCATGCCAGGGCACTGGGAGCGACATTTGAGACGCCACACTCAGATGTTCTCAGGCTAAGAAGGGAGTCAGCTATTGAAAGAACACTCACAGCAAGAGAAAAAGGCCTGGGTGACCACTTAACATGCTCTGTCTGTGCACTGCCTCTCAGGTTTGCTTTTTTCTCGTTGGGGCAGCAAGAGTGGTCACAGTATTCACGTGGTTTTGGAATGGCCTCCTGGTTATGATGAACTGGCTCCACGTGAATCGAAATAATTGCCACGCTCAAGGCCAACGGAGGAGGGCCCTACAGGCTGACACTAGGACCAGGAGTCACCCAGGCCCAGCAGACAGTACACCTGGCTGTGCCCAGCCTGCTGATCCTGAACATGGGCTATCTGACAGGGCAGATAAGGGTCACCCAAAGCTGAGCCAGCCATGAATGCAGAAGAAAAGGCCCATGTCCCACTCACCAACCATGGCCAAATGCCCCCCATGTGCCCTAACTCAGATGGCAGTGAGAGCCTGAACAACAGCTCAGAGAGCGCTTGGCCTGACACCCTACACCTGGCTGCAGGCCCGATACATGCACACCCCAGGGCCTCCCATAGCCCCCAAGGCCCAACCCTGCCCCCTGTTTAGCCTGCCTCCTCCTCAGAGATAGAGAAGGTAATAAACCTAAAATCTGCCCTACTTGTGCGTGGTGACAATGTCCCAACAGGAGACTCCAGGCCAGCTGCTAAAGAGAGCTGCCCACTGCCCAGCCTCCAGAGCTGGCCCACAGACACCTGCGTGATGGCCACTGCCCACCCAGGGAGTCCAGGGTACTTACTGGATGCTTTGACTCAATGCCAGGAACTCCCAAACAACTCATCTACAGGTTTCCTTTATCCCTGGCCTCTGCAAAACACCTGTGCTCTGTTTTTAAAGGCATCCATATCTGCCCATTCCCAAACCCCTAGGTAACTCACATGCATTCCATGGCTCTGCCAACCACGAGGATGGGGGAGGCCATTAGGGGAAAGATTCCATTCAGCCCCCCAGCACTGCCCCCACACCTCTAATTTCATGCCCATGTTCCCTCCTGGGAGCTTCAGTCCCAGGCCCAGTGAAATGCCCACAGCACAGGGAAAGGCCTCCATCCATCTCCCAGCTGGCAAGCCCACCTCTGCCTCTTGCTCCACTGCCTAGGCTGTGACAGAACCACAGTGAACTCTAAAAGAACTCCCCCTGGGGGAAGCCCAGCCCTGCACCCCAGTCCACGCTGCTCATGCCAGACGGTTGCCCTCACCTGGTGCCCGTGGAGTGTGTAGAGCAGCCGGCCCTCCATCAGGTCCAGGATCTTCAGGGTTGAGTCGCTGGAGGCTGTGATCAGGTAGTTTCCCGTGGGGTGGAAGGAGAGGGCGTTCACGGCCGCACTGTGCACTGAGAGAAGGACATCAGTCAGGCGCTGCCTGGGAGGCCCAGAGTGCACAGCCGAGGCCTGAGACAGGCAACTGGGGCCGAGGTTAGGCATAGGCCTGCGGGGCCGGGCCAGAGGGGGCATTGCACACAGAGTTGTGGGGGAGCCCCGCAGAATTTCTCAGAAGCGCATGACAAAAGGTGGGAGAAGGCTCATCCACAGCCAAGAGCAGGCAGAGAGCAATGTGCAAGTGAGAGCAATCGCGCCTTCCCTCTCCCTCTCCCACGACGCTGAGCAGTGGTGCTGGTGCAGGACAGAGAGCTCAACACAGCACTGTCTGTGCTGCACACTGTTACGTGAGGGAGATCCAGTGGAGAACTGAACCCTCACCATGCCCAGATGATGCCACTGCCCTGTGTAGGAGGCAGGCAAGCAGATGGTTTCAACAGTCTCAGGAAGCACTCAGGACCGGGTCCGATCGCAGCTTCCCCAGCCCACCCCTCCCTAGCCCAGTGCACTGGGCCCCAGGCTCTCCATGTGCAGGCCTGCCCCTGCAGGGAGGGGCGCCATGGGCATGCTGCCAGCTTATGCTCAAGAGGCCTCTGCACCACCTGAGCTGCGGACCCTGAGGCCCCCATGGATGTCCCTCACCTCAGTCCCCAGGTCCCACGCAACCCCAGGTCCTGTCACTTGACCTGCCCCATCCATGACTCTCCTTTTCCCAAGGCCCCAGTCCAAGCCCCACTATCTGCCCTGGCGTCCCTCGGCTTCAGGGCCCGGACACCCAGCCATGGAAACTTTATACCTCTGTTCCCAACGGGCCTGGGACACTCTGGCCTCCTCTTTCCATGACCTCAAGTCCACACTTGGAGCCACCTCCTCCAGGAAGCTTCTCCTGACCTCTTCACTGGGACTCGTGGTGCCCACTTCTGCTCACTGTTCACATTTATGTGCAGTGCCTCACCCATACCTGGGTCTCCCATGAGACCCCATGAGGCCGTGCTGAATCCCTGGCTCCTGGCTTAGCACCTGGCACCCAGTGAGAAAGCGGGTGATGGGCAGGTGCTTAGGCCACATGTCCTCAGCCCTGGGAGGGACACAGCCTCTCCTCAGGGCTGAGCACCTGTTCTTGTGGAGCTGGTGGAGCCAGGCCAGACCCAGGCAGTATCCATGGGGATGGAGAAACTCCAAGGCCAATACATGGACCAGCAGGACCGTGGACTCTCGGAGTTGCTACGGGGGCACCCTGGTGCCTTGTGCCATTGCCACAGGTGTGGGCGGGGGGAGAAGGGAACCCCAAGTGCCAGAGTCAACACGGACACAAACAGAAGGGCAGATTCAAAAACTGTCCCTCACCCTGGCACAGGGAGGACCCATCAACACAGCCACCAGGAGACAGCCCCAGCAGAGCCCACGGAGGGCACACGGGGCCCTTCCATGCCAGCTCAGCTGAAGTACTGGTGTGCTGCGGAGTGCAGAGACATGTTCCCAAGCACACTTAGGGGACTCAGCCAAGCTTTATATAACAACGATATTTATATCTGAACAACACCCTCCAGGTGCCAGCAACCCCAGCAGGCAGCCTGGAGGGGGCCGATGGGGTCTCTGCAGTCGGTCCTGGAGGTGGTGGAGTACAGAGGACCCGTGGCTGCTCTGGGACGAAGGCTGCCCCCACCCCCACCTGCCATGAAGCTGGCAGAGGAGCAGCCGGGGCAGGAGGGAGCACTCAGGAAGCACAGGGTGTCCCCACACTCAGGGTCACCAAGGGTGATGGGCACAGGGCCCAGCACCCCTCTACCTTTATCAAAATGAGAGGCAGAAAGAGCAGAGGAAAAAAGCCATAACCAACCCCAGCAGCAGCCAACGGGCACCACAAACAGCAGGACGGTCACCGCCCATGTGTGAAGACATACATGGTGCAGACCCAGAGAGCAACGCGGACAGAAGCTGCAGACTGAGAGCAGGGGTTACGGGGGAGGCCAGGATCAGGGGCTTCTCATCTCTACTCTGCAACCTTCTGGAGAAAAATTTTAGAACCCCTGGAATTCAGTCACCTCAAAGGCAGAGCTAAGGGATGGGTAAGATCAACTCTATTTCTCCCCTCCAAGTACGTTCTGCTCAGGGAGGCAGGAGGCCCGGCCTGGCTGGGTCCTGCAGGCACCTCAGGCTGGCGCCGACACGCACAGCCCGAGCAGAGACATGGTTGTGCCCCAGGCTCCTGGGCACCAGTGATGCTGGTCCACACCGGCCAGGAACGCAGGGGAAGGAGGCAGAATGACCTGTCTGGGCAGTCCTGCCATCCGGACCCCTCAACCCCACAGGCCAGCCTTGAGAGACAGCCCGCAGCACTGACCTCACCACACCGACAACGACTTAACGGGAGTGACCTCACCCCTGGCCCACGGGCCTCCCCGAGCTCCAGGGAAGGCACCCTCGTCCTGCCCTGCAGTCTGGCAGCCTGTGACCCGAGTCGAGGCTGGCAGAGGAGCACTGAGGCAGGAGGGTGAGCAGGAAAGGAGTGCACAAGCAGCCCAGGGAAGCCCCAGCTCCCGGCTGGGCCCATGGAGGGGAGGGTCTCCCCTAGAGGAAGCAACGGAAGTCCACTCCCCAAGGAATGTCAGCAATACCAAAGGCCTCCTGGGTGGGGTGGACACCTCAGAAGAGGCCCGGGCAGGCTTTGGAGCTGCCCTGGACACCAGGACCAACCTGCCTAGCCCACTTGCTCCCCTGCCTTGTGCATCAGCCACACCGCCTTCACTCTCCTGCCTCCCTGCCACTGAGGAAGGGGTGGGGAGGGGCCCTGCATGACAGTGCCCCCAGCACAGGCTGCCCCGGGGTGGGAGCCTCCTGTCTCGATGTTCTGCACAACAACTGTCCAACAGTGACCCACTCTTCCACAGGCCTTCCTGGTGGCTCCATGGCAGTAAGGACACAGAGGCTGTTCAAGTGGCAGCTGTGACCTCCTGGCTGTTACCTCCCAACCACTCCCAAAGAGAGAGAGCCCCACCTCTGAGTGAGAGACATCAGCATCAAACTTGCACAGCTCACCAGGAGTCCGAGGAAAGCAGCACAAGGCTGCCACAGCCCTGCCCCCAAACACCAGGAACACACAGGTCCCAGCGTGGGTGGCAGGTGGCCTAAGGAGAGTACCTGAGTACCAGCAATTCAAATGCCCACACTGCCTGCATAAAGAGGCCCTGGGCAAACCTGAGCCCCCTGCCCAGTGGGCTCCCAGCTGGCCAAGGGGCCCGGAGAAAGCCTAGGCGCTCAAGTAGGAGGTTATCTTCATGGGAAGACCAGGCCAGAGCTGAGCCCACACCCCACTCCCTGCTAGAAAGGGGTCAGCTCACCTCAAAGAGCCCAGGGGGGCTTCTCGTGGCACCACCGGTATTACAAGTGACACAGTGGCTGTAGGATCCATAGGCAAAGGCACTCTGTTCATGCTATGCAAACGTCCAATTCGGGATGATGGGGAAAGCCAAGTCAGGGGCTAGATCTGGGAGGATGGGACAATGCATCCAGAACAACCCTTTCAGTCTCCAAACACTGAAAAGATGCAGGCCCGCCCTGCTCCCTGCTAACCCCAAAAACCTGCATGCCCAGGTCTGCGTGGTACAGGAGTGCAGGGCATGCCAAGGACATGCAGACAGATGACTTGGGACTGCACAAGTCAGGCCCTGCTGCCAGCCAGCCAAGGATACAACCTCTCCCAGGGCCCTCAGGAGCCCAATGACTGGGGCTGCCCCAGTGCAAGGAACCCCACATGGGATGGTGGGCGGAACGCCAAGTGCAGGGACTCCGAGGTGGCGACCCAGCTGCGTAGCTCCCAGCTGTGGGCCTGTGGATCATGGAGAGTGGCCCTGCCTTGCTGCCTCAGGCCTGTCACGTGCCTACAGACAGGCACATTCTGGGTCCGGGGCGGGGGCTGCTGCTCAGATGTCTGAACAGTCGTAACGTGGGCTCGCAGCATATGGAGCCTGGCCCAGCTCCATGCGGACCGGCGCCCCCAGCTCCACCAGCCCATCCACTCCTTGAGGAGCTGGGAAGTGAGAACTGCTCCCCACAGTGGCAGGCTGCAGCCAAGGCACTCTGTGCCCGAGAAGACTGCTGGCAGCCTGAGGCAAACAGGTCCAGCTGCCTGCTGGGGCCCAGAGTCCTAGGCAGGCCTCAGCCCCGACAGCCCACCCAGGGACAGGAAGCGGTCTCTAGCAAGTGCACCCATGGGGCAGCCTGTCTACAAATCCTCCCAGGAAAGCCCCCAGCCTTGGCCACCTGAAGGCCACTCACAGTGCCTGGTGCCTGCCCAGAGCCACCAGCAGAGACAGGAGGCATCAATGTGCCCTTACAAACTTTCCCTGGGTTTCTTAGAGGTCAGGGACAGAAAACAGACCAGGAGCTGCCTGAGGGCTGCAAGCGCTTCCCGGGGAATCAGCCTCAAAGGGATCCCATCGCACCCCTAGAGGGGGCCCCTCAGCAGAGGGGTTTAGCCATGGAGCTCTCTGGGAGCCTCTGGATGGAAGCAGACCCAGGTAGTTTCCTCCTCCAGCAAGAGGGAAAGAGGTGCAAGCCCTCTGCCCAGTGAGCTCAGAGCAGCCCAGCGCATGGAGCCCCGAGGGTGGGCCTGGGGGCCACGCGTGGGGTTTGCTCTCCTGAGAATAACCACCTTGTGCCAGGGCATGGCAATGAGCGCAGAGGGGACTGGTGTGTTTACAGGTGCTCCACGCCTCCGCTGCTGAGGGACGGGGGGTGGCCGGCCCACGAAGGGCTCTGGCCCAAGAGGTAAGGACAGCAGCAAGAGCAGGCTGAGCTTCTGGGCAGAGCCTGCCAGCAGCACACACCCAGTTCCACACAGGACTCGGCCCTGGCGCCCGTCTGAGTCCACCCACACCTCCCGGCCCTGCCCGGCCCTTTCCCTGCAGGAGCGCAGGGCCCTCTCCCTGGTACCCACCTTCTCCATGAGACAGGGCTCACCTCCACACCCCACCTCAGCCCTCAGCTCTGGGAGGTGGGCTCATACCCCTTCCTCTGGAGGCTTTGTGCCCCTGGTCCCCCTGTGCCTCCTCAGTAGCGGGGGCCCAGTCCTGCTCACAGCCCAGATGCTGGGGCCCCCTGGTCCCTCAGTCTCCACAAGGTCAGTGCCTGTCTCTACTCGGTCTGCACAATCCATCCCCTGGGTCTAAGCCCTCCCTACTCACACCGACATTGGGCACAGACAACGCACCTAACAGTCAATGGGGCACACCAGCCCTCACCCACGCAGGCTCTCAAGACTGCTATCCTCAATCTGTTTATTCCTCGGGTGATGGGCCCCGTCCCAGTGTTTCAGTCAAGCCACATCTTTGGGACCCTGAGCCACAGACAGGATTCAAGGCCCACCAACGGGAACCTGCTGCTATGAGCGGTGAGCAGCAGGGCGAGGCTCCTGGTCTATTAGCGATGGGCCCACACCCTCTCAGTCACAGAGACCCTCTGCTCACAGTGTCAAGACTGACGTGGGACAGACCACACACCCCGCATCTCCCCACGCATTCTCCATCTCACAACCCCCACGAAGAAGCCCTACTACCATCCTCTTTACCGAAAGGACACAGGGCCTGCCCTCGTGACCGCTGCACTACCTCATCAACCCCCCCATCTCTGTCCAAGCCCTCCCCCAACCCCCCAGATCTTAATCAGGCCTGGCCCAGAGCAAAAGCAAAGCATCGAAGCAAGAAGGGGGAGAGAGAGCTGTGGCCTCCAAGTGGATGGCAGATCCCACTGCTGCTCTGTTCTAGAAGCCTCTGTCTGAAAGTGCATCAGTGACAAACCCCAGGGCTCCCTGTGCAGGAAATAACCGGTTCTAGTGGCCGGCTACTGCCATCTGGTGGCTTTTCGCGGTACTCCAGGTTTAGACAAACCCCGACAACAGGATGAAAAGACACCACCACAAACATTGTGCCTTGGTCCCATTCTCTGCCAGCACTCCCTCATTTCTCTCTCTCTCTCTCTCTCTCTCTCTCTTTCTTTTTCTTTTCTTGTCTTTTTTAGATTTATTTATTTGAAAGAGTTACAGAAAGAGAGACAGACAGATCTTCCATCCACTTGTTCACTTCCCAAATGGCCACAACAGCCAGGATTGGGCCAGGCCAAAGCCAAGAGCTTCTTCTAGGTCTCCCATGTAGGTTCCAGGGGCCCAGGCACTTAGGCCATCTTCCGCTGCTTTTCTCAGGTGCATTAGCAGGGAGCTGGATCGCATGTGGAGCAGCTGGGATACAAACTGGTGCCCATATGGGACACAGGCATGGCAAACAGCAGCTGTACTTACTACAACACAACACCAGTCCCCACCCCTTCAGTTCTTGACATGCAACAATCATTAGCTACCAACAGCACCTGTGAGAAGGGCCCTCTCTGTCCCAGCATCACAGCCCGAGACTGCCAGAGCTGACTGCAGAGCCCCCTCCCCAGCCGTGTTGCTTTTCCAGACCTGCTCTGCCCCTTCCTGGGAGGTCCACTCACCCTGAGTACCCCAACAAAGTGCCATCCTCAAACAGCTGAGAGCCAGCTTGCAAGGGCTTTTGGGGGGTGTCGGGGCAGCTCCAAGCCCCAAGCCTTGCACCTGTGTCCAGCTGTGTCCTTCTCGTGTAGATTGTGGACATGAGCCCTTGCACTTCAAATTCAGTCCAAGTCGATGCCGACAGTTCTTCAGACAACTCCAGCTCAGCTTCCCTCCTAGTTTTGGCCCTCCTGTGCCTCCTGCACAACTCCCAGTTCCTCCTGAGCCCATACCCAGAACTAAGGGCTCGCATGGCCCCGCCCAGTCATGTTGTTCTCAGACCTATTCCACTCCCCAGCACTTCAGCGAGTGCATCCTGTGTCATGTCTGCCCTCACCCTTGGAATCTCACTGTCTTCATGTCAACTGCCCACTGCCCTGACTGTTAAGGACCAGCATTAGGTCAAGATGCACAGCTGCAGGTCTGGATCCTGCACTTGGCCCCTGGTTAAATGAACCCTCTATGTGGCCCATGTTATCTGAGCGGGACACCAAGGGGCCAGAGGTGGCCAAACTCCCATCCTCGTTGACTTCTCCTGGCAGCTCTGCCCCCTTCACCACAGATCAAGGCTTGTCATCTTGGCCCTGGAAGGCAAGGCCCCGTCACAGGGAGAGGCAAGTGACATGGAGAGCCCCTGAGCAGTGGCCTTCAAGGGAGCCCTGGCCAGAGACCCACTGAGGACTCCCCGTGTGGCCCTGCGTGTATGTGACTGTGCCACCTCACAGATGGGCACTAAAGGGCTTGGTGAAGCCAGGGAGCAGCATGCTTCCTCCTGGCCAAGGTTCCAAGCCAGGACAGCCTGGGAAGATCCCGCAGACCCGGGACGCCTCCCCGCCCAAGGCCACCCTCAGGAGCGTGTGAAGCAGTGCAGCGATGAACCCAGCGCCAGCACCAGCACGGTCCCTCCTTGGCTTCTCATGGGCCCAGGAGCCGATTCGGACTCACACTGATAATGCTGCAACAGCCGGTGAGTCCGCACGTCCCACACCTTCACTGTGTTGTCCATGCCGGCCGCAGCAATGCAGGTACCACTGGGATGGAAGTCCACGTAGGTGACGAAGCTGGAAAGACAGGGACCACTGTACACCACGGGAGGCCTGCCTGGTCCTGGGATGGACCCCAAGTGTCCAGAACATCCCACCCCTGCATGTCTGCTCATGCTGCTCTCTGAGCACAGAACGTCCCCTCCCAGCCCTGCTCTTCACTTGGTCAAGGGGAAACAAGCACCGTGAGAGCAGACGCCCAGTCAGCTGAGGTGGCCCAGCAGGAAGCGAGCCCCACCAGCAGGAACCGAGCACCACCACCCGTTTTTAAACCCAAGTAGAGAAAGCTGTCTTCAGACCCCAGGCTAGCCAGGCTGTGCCGGGGTTTTTCAGAGCTGAAGCTGGTACCCTTGCCAGGGCTGGCTGCAGGGCAGGTCCTGCCAGCTGAAGTTCAGGTGAGACAGTCCAGCAGGGCACAGGGCTGCTGGCCCACCTGGCTCAAGGAGACAGGCCTCAGGCCTCCAATGCACACCTAAGTGATACTCAGGCTAGTACCAGGCATGCACTCAGGAGGAGCCCTCGCCTGTGGCTCCCAGCCTAAGGAGGGAGGGATCCACTGAGAGTCCTGGAACAGGCGAGGCCCTCCTCCAGTGCAGCTTCTCCCTCACTGGATGAGGCCTTCACTCCTAAAGGCACCACCACAGCTAACATATCTAAGGAGCTTCAAAAGGCACCTGGGGGACCCAGGTCAATGGCTCACAGACACACGGTACAATTCGGAGAACTAGGAAGTGAAGAAGCGCGGGGCTTGAGGCTGAGCATCCCCCCCGGCTTTGTGGGATGGAGTCGGGGCCAAACTGCCCACCCACATAAAGATGCAGAGGTACACAACAGAGAGCTGCAGAGGGAAGCCCGCTGGGCTTCAGGGCGCTGGCCCTGAGGGTCACCGGGCTCCCCGTGCCGGGCCTGTGCTCTGTGCTGGGGCAGCTGCAGGAGGCTGGAGCTGGGACTCACCCGCCGTGCTCACAGTAGGAGTGGACACACTCCCGGCTGCTTCTGTCCCACAGCTTGACAGTCTTGTCATCACTGGCAGACACGATGAGCCGCCCATCAGGGGAGAACCTGAGCCAGACAGAGCACAAGTCACACTGCCAGTTAACAGACGTCCTGGGCACCACACGCCATCTTCCACAGCCGTCCTTCCCTGCACACCTGCTACAGGGCCCAGGAACTGCCTGGGGTTACGTGCCCTGCTTGGACCCCGAGTGTGTCTGCACAAGGAGCTTCCACCCTGTGAGACAGACACTAAGAGCGCCTATCTCCCAGCAAGCGCAGAGTGGCACGACGTACACACAGCTCCAGCACTGGTGCCCATGGCGCTATGATCATGTGACCATGGGGAAAAGTCCCCTTGAGTGTCATTAGCTTGCTCCCAGGTCCTGCAGGAGAGCCAAAACACCATTTGCCACCAAACAGGCATGGAGGTTCCAGGGACCAAAGGCCCAGGGACTGCCAGTTTGCTGGCCTGGCCCCTCTGTTCTCAGCACTCTGATCATGAGACCTCAGGGTAAAGGAATGGAGGTGCCCTAGAGAACAAGTCACTTAGAGGCCCCCAGAAAATGGCCCGGCAGTCCCGAGCTGACCCCCGGGGACTTCCAGGCAGCCTCTGGCCACACCCAAACCCTTCTTCTGGAGCACAGAATGGGACACGTGAGCAGGCTCTGTTGGAAAGAACCGAACAGGCCAGAGGTGTCCAAAAGGCCCCGGGCCGCCTGTCCCAGCCACGCAGCACCCACTCCCACTCCAAGTGGAGGGCCAGCGGCCACGCCATGCCCCTTCAAAGCCGAGACTGCAACTGGCTGCTCTGGAGCCAAATTCAATGCTGGGAAGAGCAGCCCAAGGGAAAGCAGGCGAGCCTGCCCGGTGCTGTCGCACGTCAGCTCGGTGAAGTCTCCACACACACGCAGCAGGAACCAGGACCGGCTCCATCTTCGCAGACGAGGAATTCGGACTCAGGAACACTAAGAGCGGCTATATAACTTGCCGAGAGGCCACAGCTGGCACTCAGCGGCCCCCCGGCGCCCCACACCCAGGTCTCCCCAAAGGTCTCCAGGCAGGGCCAGGCTCACCTGGCACAGCGGACCCAGTTGATGTGCTGGCTCAGGGAGAACAGAAACCTCTGGCGGTGAGTTGACCACACCTTGACAGTCTTGTCATCAGAGGCCGTCACGAGGGACTGGCCGTCACTGCAGAAGTGGACGCTCCTCACAGTGGCCGTGTGGGCACGGAACACAGTCGACTCACCTTTGCTGTGAGGAGAGGCAGCCGGGTCAGGAACCCCTGCTGGGAACGAGCAGGTCCCTCGAAGCTCTGCCTACCCTCAGGCAGCCACCCAGAGCCAGCCCAGGCCTCCACAGGAGCCACCCAGAGCCCCCCCAGCCCACCCGCGTGCAAGCAAGAATGGCTGAGGGCCTCCCAGGGGGCTCTCTCCTGACCCTGGTGGGGGACCCCAGCTGAAGCCCCAGCCCCTGAAGACACCTCCTTGGAACCGGGATAGATGTCCCACTGGGACCAGTCCAGAGCCAGGACAGAGGACCTAGGTGCGGGCAGCTCTGGCACCAGGATCACAGACTCCAGCGAGCCCCTCAAAGGCTGTAACTCACACGTTGGGTACCCAGATGCGGACGGTCTTGTCACGGGAGCCTGAAGCAAGCAGGTGTCCCGAGGGGGAGAAGTTCACACAGGTGACGGCATCCTTGTGGCCAGCGAAGCGGTAGGCCCGTGACTGGGGCTTCATGTGCCAGACCATGAGGCACGAGTCCATGGAGCCACTGGCTGAGGAGAGCGGGGGATGCTTTGACCTTTGGCTCCGAGCCAGGACGCTGGGGTCGCAGGGGGAGCAGCAGGTCCAGCTCCACCTTGCTCAGAGCCCACAAACAGGGCAGCCCACCCTTGCAGGGACAGCCACGGGGAGCTGGAGAGCCTGTGGCTGCAGTTCTCCAAGCAGTTCTCCAAGCAGCAGGCCCACACAGGACCCAGACCTAAAGGGGCCTTTCACGTGCCAGTCCTGGGTTGCAACCCAGGGCTCCGAAAACCTCCTCCCCATGGGGGCTGAGGTGACCCCCGGACATACCACAAGGGTACTAGAGAGCAGGTCCCCCCGACACTGGAGAGCCAGGCCACCCAATGGGCCTTTGAGCATGCAGAAGGCCCAAAGGAGGTCCTCAAAACAAACAGTAAAGGACTTCCGCTGCCCTAACCTGCAGCCTATGATGAGGCCAGCCATCTGGCAGGGGCCTTGATGACAGGACGAAGGGCTGAGCCTCCAGTATGGGAACAGGAAAGCTGCGGCACAAAGCAGTGCATGGACTCCCAGGCGACCAGGCAAGGTGGCACTGAGCAGGAGCATGGGGCCCAGTTCAGGTCTACAACAAGGTGTGCTGCGCCACTGGGGGCAGCTCAAGGAAGGATGGGCGTTAGGCCCAGCAAGTGGAGCCACCACCTGAGACACCCACAATCCCACACCCAAGTGCCATGAGTTCCAGTTCCTTCATTTCCAATCTTGCTTCCTGCAAATGCATCCCGGAAGGCAACAGAAGATGGCTCAAGTGCTAGGGGCCCTGCCACCATGTGGGAGACCTGGATGGAGTCCTGGGCTCTTGGCTTCAGCCTGGCCCAGTCCCTGCTATTGTGGGCATTTAATAAGTAAACCAGCAGAAGTAAACCAAAAGACAGATAGTGCTCTCTCTGTTGCTCTGCCTTTCAAGTAGATTAAAACCAATCAAACAATAAATAATTAAAAAAAAATAAAAGACTTGGGGGCTGGCATTCTGACACAACAGCTAAAGCCGCCATCTGTGAGCCAGCATCCATTCATGTGCCAGTTTGAGTCCCGGCTGCTCTACTTCCAATTCAGCTCCCTGCTAATGTGCCTAGGAAAGCAGCAGAAGATGGCCCAAGTACTTGGGCCCCTGCAGCCATGCGGGAGACCAGAAGAAGCTCCTGGCTCCTGGCTTCAGCCTGGCCAAGAGCTGGCTATTGCAGCCATTTGGGAAGTGAACCAGTGGATAAAAGATCTCTCTCTGTCTCTCTCTCCCTCTCTAATTCTGCCTTTAAAATAAATTTTAACATCTTAAAAAAACAAAAACCTCAAGGGAAAGGGGCCACTGCTCAGGGCCCACTCCACAGGACAGACTCAAGAGGTGGCTGAGGCAGGCAGGCAGCAAAGGCTGGTGAGCGTGGCAAGCCCCTAACCTCACACTCCGGTGCACATGGAGGCCAGCACCCAGAGAGCTGGCAGGCGGAAGCACAGTGCAGGTATACGCAAAGCACCCGCACCTTGGCCACGCTCTGCTCCCCGCACACCACGTTTCCCAGGTAGGAGCTCGGCCTGCACAGCTCAGAGCCTGGCTCCTGTCTGGGGTGAGACGCCTCCTCTTACCCAGTTGCTTCGTGTTGAGACTGAAGTCCACACAGGTAACTGCATCTCGGTGGCCCTTAAAATGCCTCTCCAGCGAGGGGTCCTCCTGGGGGAGAGCCAGGGTCTGTGTGAGAAGCCTAGGTGAGGAAGGGGCTTCCCTGGGGCCAAGACTCTTCCACAACAGTCAGGAGGGGTTAAAATGCTCAAGGTGTGACCTTGCAGACAGCTAAAAACCTTTAGAGTAACCAGTTCAGCAAGGCTGTAGGATACAAAATTAATACAGAAAAACCAACTGTATTTCTTTACATACACTAGCAATGAGTAATCCAAAAAATAAAACAATACCATCACGATACAAGAAAAACATTCAGCAGTAATTTTTTTTTTTTTATTTTTATTTATTTTTTTTTTTTGACAGGCAGAGTGGACAGTGAGAGAGAGAGACAGAGAGAAAGGTCTTCCTTTGCCGTTGGTTCACCCTCCAATGGCCGCCGCGGTCAGCGCGCTGCGGCCGGCGCACCGCGCTGATCCGATGGCAGGAGCCAGGAGCCAGGTGCTTTTCCTGGTCTCCCGTGGGGTGCAGGGCCCAAGCACCTGGGCCATCCTCCACTGCACTCCCTGGCCACAGCAGAGGGCTGGCCTGGAAGAGGGGCAACCGGGACAGAATCCGGCACCCCGACTGGGACTAGAACCTGGTGTGCCGGCGCCGCAAGGCGGAGGATTAGCCTAGTGAGCCGCGGCGCCGGCCCATTCAGCAGTAATTTAACAAGAAAAAGCACAAGCTTCATACAGTGAAAACTATAAAACATGGCCGAGGGGCCGGCACTGTGCTGCAAGAGATTAAGCTGTGGCCTACAGCGCCGACATCCCATGTGGGCCCGGTTCCAGTCCTGGCGGCTCCACTTCTGACCCAGCTCTCTGCTAATGCGCCTGGGAGGGCAGAAGATGGCCAAAATAGTTAGGTCTCTATCACCCTCATGGGAGACTGGGATGGAGTTCCAGGCTCCTGGCTTTGGCCTGGACCAATCCCAGCCACTGTGGACATTTGGGGAGTGAACCACAGGATGGAAGATCTCTGTCACTCTGCCTGTCACATAAATACATAAATCAATCTTTAAGATCTTTTCACACACACACACAAAAAACTATACACAAATGTTCACAGCAGCATCATTCATAGTAGCCCAGGTGCCCATCAGCAGGCGACTGAACCAATCAAACGCGGGACGGGATGGAATATCACTCAGTCTCCAACAAGAGCCAGGCCCTGAGTGGGGCTCCGCCGTGTGAGCCTGAAAACACACCACTGAGTGAAAGGCACCAGACGCTAAGGCCCTGCTTCCACTCCATCTGTCGCAGCGGAATCCTCAGAGACAGAAAGGAGACTAGCGGTGGTCAGGAGCTGCGGAGAGGGGCTCGCGGGAAGGAAAGTGACGGCTGCGGAGCTCGGGGCTTCAGCAGCACACAGCGAGGACGGCGGGACGACACCGTGCGTGTACTCAAGCATGGCCTGTATACTTTCAAGCCTGAGTTTTACGGCACATGGGTAGTAACTCAAGAAAGTCATTTTTTAAAAAAAGCCTAGAGAGGCCACACTGAGGTATAGTGGACCAAGCCTCCGCTTACAGCGCTGGCATCCCAAATGGGCGCCAGTTCGAGTCCTGGCTGATCCTCTTCCAATCAGCTCCCTGCTTATGGCCTGGGAAAAAGAGCAGAAGATGGCCCAACTGCTTGGGCCCCTGCATCCACGCGGGAGACCAGGAAAGCTCCTGGCTCCTGACTTTGAATCAGCCCAGCTCCGGACATTGCAGCCGTCTGAGGAATGAATCAGAGAATGGAAGATCTCTCTCTCCGTCTCTCCCTCTCAATCAAATAACTAAATCTTTAAAAGAAAAAAAGAACGTCTAAAGACAGAAAATGAGCCTTTTAGCACCTCCCACCCCAAGAATTGGATCTTACACACTTGGACCTACTTGGACCAGCCAGGAAGCTCGAAGGTCAGTCCTGGACAGGCTGGGGGTGGTGGCACAATCTACCCACCATCAGAGAAATAAACAATAGGGCTTTGGGGGGACAACGGAGAGGCTATTCCAGGGACACTGCCAGCCAGCAGCGGCTTGTGTCTCAGCACCTGAAGGGTCAGACGTGCCCCCAGCCCAAGCATGAGAAACCTCTAAGAAGCACCTGGGGCAGTCCAGGGAGCCCAGCGGAAGACTCCTCTTGGGAAACAAAGTCCCTGACACAGAGCAAAGCCACCACGGCTCCACAGGGCTGAAGCACAAAGGCCCCAGGAGCCCTGTGCCCAGCCCCACCCCCTGAAACACCTGGCATGAGTACCCTTTCAACAGCAGGGGGAGTGGCAGCGGGGGAAGGGCCTCCAACAACCACAGCGGCTCCATTCCGCCTCCTGCCCTCCCAGCGCCTCTCAGAACACGGGTAAGAGAGCTCACCCCTGGGCTCACAGGCAGAGCCAAGTTCATCGGCCCGTCAAGTCTCCCTCTGCAGCTGCCTGCCCGCCAGGCCTCCTCTCCCCCAAGGTGGTTTATATATGAGGTCGACGTAGTGAGAGCATCCGATTAGAGGTCAACCGGTCTGGATCCTACTCTGGGCCCTCTACCAAGTCCTTGGACGCCTAAAGGAGCTACAGGCTACTACCCAGCCAGAGGACAGGCCCATCTCAAGAACTCTCTCAGCAAGACCGGCTCTGGAGAGCTCCTCTATGGCCAAGGTCATACTGCAGGCCTGGGCCGTCCCACGCACCCCAAGGGCCAGCTGTCCACACCCGCGGAGGTGGAGAGCACCTTCAACAACACTCCATCCAGCCGCCCGGCTCCGGATCACACCGGAGTCGAGCCTCGCGAAGATGCAGACCCTGGAGGCAGGGATTCTGTTCGCTCCAGCAGCCCGGCACAGGGTCCCCGGTAGTGCCCACCCAGCGCCCCCGTAGAGACGGTAAACAGACTAGAGAAGATCGACCCGGAACCCGGTCCCCCTCTCGCAGTCGTCTCTCCCGCAGGCCAGGCTCCCAACAGCCTGGAGTGGAGACGAAGGACCGGGCGGTCGCTAGCGGGGACTCACCAGGCTGGGCGCGGCCATGGCAGGGCTGGCGCGGCCACCCGCGCCGGAGAAGCCGGAGGCGGAGTGAAGGCCGTTGCGGCCGGTTCAGTTTCCGCGCCCCCAACCGCCGCCAATAGCAACGCCGGGCGCGTCGCAGCGCCCCACCCACCGCAATTAAAGGGGAAGCTCCTCAGCTTCTTGGCCCCTGACGCAACTAGAACTGTAAAGCTGGAACCACGGCCTCGAAAACCAGGCCAGGAAACCCCCGGACGCTGCCAGCAAATGCCTCTGCCCGCCGCCACTCATTCCTCCTGAAAAGTTAAAAAGCCCAGGACGAGGGCTCTCCCCACCGGCCTGGCGCCCGGATGACGTAAGGGAGCGCAGTCTTCTGGGAAATGTAGTTCCAAAGCCGCGCCGCGCCCTCGTGTGTGGAGGAAGGTGGAAACACATTTCCCAAGATGCCGTGGGGGCGAGCGGGGTTTACTACTCCGAGCGCGGGCCGAAGGATCCCGGAAGTGGATGACTGGTGTGGGCCTGTGTCTGTGTGGCTTTAAAGCGCTTCTTGCCTCGCGGCCGGGTTTTCACGCGAGAAATTGCGATCCAATTACTCGCCCCTATGGAATTCTAAATGGCTCACTCCTCCGAACGTGAAGGACTCCTGTCATCCAAAAGAATGCGAATCACCGGAAATCGCAACTATAGGGTGGAGAGGTCTGAATTCAGTTCTCAGTTCTCGCCCCAGTTCCTTGTATGAGCTCAGGGGAAAACGCCTCTGCTGTGTAGGCCCGCCTTCCCTTTTGTAATCCGAGAGAGTGGTGCAGCCGGGCAAGCGGCCTTCACCCTGAAAAGCTGTTGTAAATTATACTTCTGGGGGCCGGTGCTGTAGCGGAGGGGTACAGCCACCACCTGCGCCGCCAGGTTCCACCAGGTTCCGCCGGGTTCAGGTCTTGGCTGCTCCACTTCCGATCCAGCTCCCTGCTAATGGCCTGGGAAAGCAGTAGAAGATGGCCCAAGTGCTTGGGCCCCTGCACCCTCGTGGGAGACCTGGATACGGCTCCTGGCTCCTGGCTTTGGTCTGGCCCAGCCCTGACTGTTGTGGCCATTTGGGGAGTGAGACAGTGGATGAACAATCTCTCTCTCTCTCTCTCTCTCTCTCTCTCTCTCTCTCTCTCTCAACTCTGCCTTTCAGATAAATAAAATAAATCTTAAAAATAGATGAATAAATTACACTTTTAAAAGGAGACAGTCCCAGGACCTGGCCACCAGGGGTCGTCCTTTCTCGCCGAACTGTCTCTTGCTCTTTCCTCTGCCTCACGATGGACATATTCCCAATCTGCAATTGGCCTGAGCCGGATGTTTTGCAAGATTCAGGAATCTTCCATCATCTCTCCTGGCCAACTTGTCAAGACTCCAACACTGATTAGGATCTGGCCATGTTCTGAGGTTATCGCTACTGAAACCAAAGACTGTGTGTCCCTGGGTCTGCAATTCTGGGCAGGTTCAATAAACTCTGAAACCAATACATGAAGGGAGCTGGCATTCAGACCTGCAACAGCCAAAACAAGAAAGCAGATAACATTTAATCGCTTCTTTGTGATTTGGCATTGAACTCATTCCTTTATGTTGGAGATTTAACTTAGACACTCAAATCCTTGAAACAAGCGTAGTTGTTCGCTCACACTGAAACTTCAATACTGTTAAGTTCTCAAGACTTCCCACCAACATCCACATTTTACTGGTTGTTCTGTTGCCTGCCAGCCAAACACTGGGGTGGGAGTGGGCATTACGGAATAAATGAAGATTGGCATGTATTGGGTGCAGCAGCTCTACTTCTGATCCAGCTTCCTGCCGATAATGTCTAGGAAGGCAGCAGAAGAGAGACCAACTACTTGGGCCACCGCCACTCACGTGGGAGACCTGGATGGAGTTCCTGGCTCCTGGCTTCAGCTTGACCCACACTTAGCTGTGGCGGCCATTTGGAGAATGAGTCAGCACATGAAAAAAAAGCTCGCTCGCTTGCACGCTAGCTCTCTCTCTCCCTCTTTCCCTCCCTCTCCCTTTCTTTCTGTTGCTCTGCTTTTCAAGTAAATAATTCTTTTTATTAAACAAAAACAATAAATAAAAACAAAAACCTGACCATTAAACTAGAGAATTATTTTATTGTTGTTAGGTAGAGTTTCAGGTTTTAGCTATGGAATACCGCTGGCCTACAGAAGCTTGTACTGTAGAAAACTGAATTTATGGGTCCAGTGCTGTGGCTCAGTGGGTTAAAGCCCCAGTCTGCAGTGCCAGCATCCCATATGGGTGCCAGTTCGAGTCCTGACTGCTCCACTTCCCATCCAGCTCTCTGCTGTGGCCTGGGAAAGCAGTAGAGGATGACTCAAGTCCTTGGGCCCCTGCACCCGCGTGGGAGACCTGGAGGAAGCTCTAGGTTCCTGGCTTTGGACTGGCCCAGCTCCGGCCACTGTGGTCATTTGGGGGGCGAACCAGCGGATAGAAGACCTCTCTCTCTCTCTCTCTCTCTCTCTGCCTCTCTGTAACTCTGCCTTTCAAATAAACAAATAAATCTAAAAAGAAAAGAAAACTGAATTTAGAGAAACTATGTAAAATGCTTCTCAAATGCCAAGTTTGTAACTGGGAGATTTGTCAAGGGGCTGGAGAACTCTTCAAACTTCCCTACAGCAGGGAGGTCTGCGTCCTGGTACAAAGCCCACAGGCAAGTTCCCCTGCAAGAGCCTGTCAGGGGACCCAGCCCTGCGGTACAGAGGACTCAGCCTCTGGCTGCAGCACCGGCATCCCATGTGGGCGCTGGTTCAAGTCCTGGCTGCCCCACTTCCCATCCAGCTCTCTGCTATGGCCTGGGACAGCAGTAGGAAATGGCCCAAGTCCTTGAGCCCCTGTACCCATGTGGGAGACCCAGAAGAAGCTCCTGGCTCCTGGCTCCTGGCTCCTGGCTCCTGGCATTGGATCGGCGTGGCTCCGGTCATTGTGGCCATCTGGGGAGTGAACCAGTGGATGGAAGATCTCTCTCTCTGCCTCTGCCTCTCTGTAACTCTACCTTTTTCAAATAAATACAATAAAATTATTATAAATTATTATAAAATATTTTAAAATGCAATAAAAATGCATTTAAAAATTGTCATCCTATCACCACTCTCCAACCCATTTCCCAAGGCCACCCAAGGGTAGGACAGAGAAAGGAGCTGGAAAGACAGGGTTCACACCCGCTACCCTAGCTCGGCCCAGCCTACACCTGGAAAGCCCCATGTGTCACCAGTCAGCCCTGCACCTGCCAGTGGCCTGCTCAGGGCTTTCCCAGGGTCAGGCAGATCTGGGGATGAGTCTGGGCCCGGCCCCTTGTCACCTCCGAGCTGGGTGAGCTAGCAGGAATCACACCACCTGTTCCAGCCTCCGTGTTCTCAATTATAACATAATCGTAATGCTATGCCTACCTACTACGATGGGGGAGGGGAGCTTCCATGAGCTTTCATTTCATGTCAGAGCTTGATGTTACGCTGTCATTCAGAAGCGTGTGACTTCATGCGTTCTCTGCTCCGACAGTCTGGTCAGCACTTCTCTGCCTCTGCTCCACTCACTCTCCCCAGCTCTTTCTGCCCAGCCCTACCGGCCTCCACCCTGTGTCTTGAAGAGCGATGGCTCTTGCACTGGCTATTGTGCCGGTGTCCACGTGGCTCCATCCATCACCAGGGCTGTGCTCAGATGTCACCCTTCTGTAACCTTCCCTGACCCCCTACTTACAATGTCATCCAGCCCTCCCTTTCTCTACTTCGCTTTCCTCCGGTGACTTGTTGTGTTGTGTTCTACTGAAGGGAAGCTCCAGGGGACAGACGTGACCGTACCCCCGCACCCAGCAGGGGCTCAGACACAGCAGTGGTGCCATAAATATTTGCCGAATAAATAGATGAATCATGGCCAGATAGCACATACAATGTCATCGGGTCTGCAATGGGCAGAGCCGGTTGTCGACTGGACAGGTTGGGGAGGGACGAGTGTAATTAGGACATCTGAGCCATGAAGCATGAATGGGGCCCACGTGCAGGCAGGAGAGGGAAGGAGAGGCAAGCTGGGTGCTGGGTGTTGGGTGCTGGGGACAGACTGGGCAAAGATCTGAGATGGGACAGAACATGGGTATCTGAGGAACAGAGACAAGAAAGATAGGCCAGGAGTGAGGCCAGCACGTAGGGCTGCAGGTGCAGGCAAGATCCCTGGAGACCGGTCTCAAAGTGGCCACATGTGCCTTCTTAGGGGTGGGACGAGTCAAAAGAGACCTCCTGGGGCTTTGGCACCGGGCCCCCCTTTTGTGAGAGTGACCCCTGCAAAGTGTCCTGCCCAGGGAGTCCCCCAGCAATTCTGGGCCTCAATGGCACCCACGGTTGGAAGCGTCCGCTCCCTGTAATGGCAGGCCACAGCAGAGGGTGAGGAGAGCACCAAAGGGATGCCAGGCCTCAGCCTCAGCCAGCGCCGCCCCTCCGTGGCAGTGGCCACTCTGGTAAAAAGCCCTCCCGAGTGGGGACACTGGGGACTCCCTCTGGCTAAGCATCCAGTACAGGCCTGTCCTTCCACCTGGCACAGTACTGGCATGACGGGGGCTGCCGCGTGATGCCTGGACACAGTGGTGTCAGTGGACCTGGGGCCCCAGGACGAGTTTCCAGGAAGCACGGAGACCAAGCGCGCACATGTGAGCAAGCGGCAGGGAGCACCCCTCACACGAGGCCTCGACTCCAGGCTCAGAGCCCTCCCTGGTGATACGGAACACGGAGCTTCAGAGCAGCTGTCCTCGGCCCGGCTGCCATCAGGACCTCAGCAGGTGCAGGCTGGGCATCAGCTGAGTGCAGTCAGTAGCCAAGGCTGCGAACCGTGGCTTTCGACCAGTGTTAAAGAGCTGTGATGGTAGAAATGCTTTGTCGGCACTGTCCACGGTGGTAGCCCTGGTCACACAGGATTAGCAAACGTTTCAAATGCAGGGAACAGAATCTTCACATTTCCTTCCATCTACATGTAAACAGCTGTATGTGGCCAGTGGCTACCATATTGGCCAGTGTAGCTCTACACTGGACTGGCTCTGAGGCCTTGGCGTTCAGTCTCCTGGTGAAGACATGGGGGAGCGAGGGGCATGGTGCCCAGTCCAAGGTACTTATGGCAACTCTTTCTCCAGTGTCCACTGCCAGCTGATGATGTGTGTATGCTGGGGGCAGAGGGTGGACATGCTGGCCCAACCCCAGGGACCTGGAGTGTGGCCGCAGGATGCAGGCCGCAGTTCCCGTGCCCCATAGCAGGGCTTTACTGAGTGTCCCCAGAGCATTTCAGGATGGGAAGACACATGGAGCCG